CAATTATTAATCAAAGGTCAATCGTGTCATACCTCCTCTGGATACGGGTCACTCTAAAACCAGGAACGGGAAACGAAGAAATGAGAAATGGAAACGGAAATAGGAAACGGAAAGAAACGGGAAAAGTCCGGTATTTTACGGAAATATTCTAGTGTAGCACATTGAAGAAGTGATGGCATAGGAGAATTGTTGCTTCGATTTTATTGATTTGACTCTTTCTGAAAGTGAAGACGAGTCTTTAAAAGAGCCGAATGATTGTGATAGCAGCAAAGAGGATGAAGAAGATATTGCAAGGTGTGATTTTTGTTCGTGTTTCTTCAGATGAATGTGGTAGCTACTCTCCACAGCATACTATGGAACAAAGCTGCTAATCTCTTGAAGGGAAAGAGTATCATACCTGTACCTTGGATGACTGACAATAAAGCTCGTCTTGTGGAAAGTTCATCCTCAGAACAGCCACATCTTGTTACTGCAAGTAACAATTGCTATAAGTGTGATGATAAGTGCCCATAACTTAAGACTTTCTTTCACTTATCCATTTACTTATCAAGCTTTCATTTAATCATCAAAATGTTTCATTATTCTCAATAATAAAAATTAATTATTAATATAATTTTATAATGATTCCTGTTTCTTATTTCCCGTTTCCTATTTCCATTTCTCATTTCTTCATTTCCCGTTCCTGGTTTTAGAGTGACCCTCTGGATACAGACTACGTAACCGGGATTGGAAACAGATCACGTGATCCATTGAAATCAATGTAACTATTCAGGTACAGTCTCTGTGACAGTGAGAGGCGGACGAAAATGCCTGACATGGCTGGAAAGAATGGTCTCTAGTGAAGTCCCGCAAGCTATTTCACCTGTACTTGGGCTCTTATAATATACGCACATGTTTCTATTTTTCTTTGATACAAAAATAAAATGTGTTAGCTGTGTAAAAACAGGTGTTTAAAGCAAGTGCGCTCCCCGTGACAAGAGAAAATGTCTTATTCTCCCTCCTGCAAACAAGCTTTAGCTACCCCAGTTTCATTTTATAATTAAAACTATGCACAAGGTCATGCTACATGAGAATAGACTGGTTAGTTCTGCCTGCCATTTTACTGAGAGCAGAAATCCACCAAAATAACTCCAAAAAGCGGCCGATCTGTTGTACCTCTCCCGAGCGAACTAAGCATAGAGACACGAAGAGAAAGATACCATCGTGATCTCTGGTATTTTCTTTATGCGATTAAGCCTACTTAGAACCAGCTACATCACAGTATATTATTAATACGGCTCATCAAACATAACAATTCTTCATGATTTTAACCATTTTGATGTAAATTCATGCAATTTTATGCATTAATAATCACACAGTCTGTACACGTGACGTCATCAGTTTCCAATCCCGGTTACGTAGTCTATAATATCTATGATTCAATTATAGGAACGACCTGGGGGCTTCGCCCCCAGGTCGTTAAAAACAAAATGAAAATTATTTTTCCCTTTTGCAGTGTACATAAATACATTGTATACATGCATGCTCTATTACAATATAATTGTTTTCTCTATATTTCTTTCTTACTAGGACATTGATTTGGCTGAACACAGCGATTGTTCATTTCATCAATCACTTGACCAAGAGGGCAGGAGCAGCCGGGCTGTCCATCACCAGCACATAAAAGATGAGGATTAGAGCAAGTCTTTGGACAAGTAGCCTTCACTTCATTATACTCTTGACCAGCAATAGGACAATCTATCAAATGTATTAGAATTGATTTTATCTAAGGCATTTTGGTACAGTCCCACCAATAATTTTGATATTGGTTATGTGTATCACTAAAATGAAAAAAAACTTTTAATTCCTAGGGCCTAGGCAATTTTGATACTCTAGTACATAATCATTTTTTTAATTCTAAAAAAATTAATTTTTGTCAGGAATACCTCTAATTTTTGATCCTCCCTCCTC